ATGGAGGGAATGACATCCCCCGCTCCTCCACCGCCGCCCGGGGCCGGTTCGGTGCGTCAGCGAAGCCTCAGAGCTTGGCCCTGGAGCCCAGAGGGGGCCCAGGTGGCAGAGAGAACACGGTGTGTGCAGACAGTTCTGGAAGAACCAGACCCACATCGATTGGGCGCCGGCCATTCTTCCTGTCCCGGATTTGGTGGTCCTGGGAGCGGGGCCCATGTTTTGCATGCCTGTCTCCCAAGGGCCCCCACTGTGTGAGCAAGAGCCTCACCTGTTTGATTGTGCTCTGAGTTCATCCTTGTCTCAAGCCTCCAAGCCGTCCCATGGAAGAAACTCTATCTTGACCCACTGGGGTAAAGTCAGTTGGCTCAAAGTTCTCTCAGTTGGGGGACAGCCCTGCCTCTGTCAAGGTCCCCAGTTTGCAGCAAAGTTCTGGGGGGAGTGCGGGGTGGGCGTTGGGGTTAGAGGGACAGGAGTGATGTTTAAATATTTATCAACCTGTGAAGGCAGTGACCACTGAGCGACAATTCCGGAGCCAAGTTTGGGAGCCCCCGGGTTGTGTGTGGAGGTCCGGGGGTTCCTGGGGAACCTGGGATGGATGTATGGGGGTATGGTCAGTCAGGGCAGCTCTTCACCAGCTGGTGCAGGGGCATTTCAGCTACTTAACCTCCAGCCCTGCCATGTGAATGTCGAGTTCAGGGACAGCGAGAGGGCTGGCCACTGCCCCACGGGGTCCCGGCCCCTGTGTATCTTGTCCATATGTGAGGTCTATTCAGGCCATCGTCTTTTCTCTCTCTCTCTGTCCCCTGGCTTGGCCTCCTGCCTGCCCTGTCACACCCAGCACTGCGTGGACCTGTCCGTCGGTGGGGTATTTATGGACCTGAACAACCTGGTGAAAATATGGTCCATGTTGGTGCATCTGCCATGCAGCCCTGGCCCCAGCTGTCAGAAGAGCTCAGAGCCAGAAGAACTGTGCACAAGGCCCCAGAAACCACCCCGAGACCATTGGATGGCATGTCTCCTTCAGCTTTTTTCTAGGCATAAGTGTGCAAATGCCCACAACTTCCAATATCTACCTGGCACACAGAGGCAGGTGGCAAGTACTGCTTTTCGATTACTTATCTTTTGCAGAGTCTTTTCAAATGGCCGCCTGCCTGTCTACTCTGGGCAGGATGACAACCTCTCTAAGTAATCCCCTCTCGCTGGGCATCTAGGTTACTTCCTCATTTTTGGCCATGAGATACAACAGTTCTGTGGCAAGCATCCTCACAGCTAGATCTGTGTACATCTTCATGCCTTTCCCTATAGGACACATTTCTTAGAGGTAGAATTCCTGGACCCAAACTCAAGGCTTTTGCTAAAATGTTCAAGAAGGGTGACAGTGGCTTTCTCCGGGGAGGAGTTTGCGGCTCGAGAAAAGTGCTCCCAATACTCCACACCTGAGCCATGACCAGTTGTCGGTGGGACAACTGCCATGGGGGAAGGAGCGTGCATCCCTGAGTGGATCCGGCAACACAGCTGAGAGCAGCTGCCCTCAGGGGCGCCCTGTGTGCCCCCCTTGCTCGCCTCATCTCGTTGGATGTTCTCCATAAGCCCCCCGAGAAAGTACTGTTATCACACCCATTTTACAGTTGAGGAAACTGAGGCAGAGTTTTGCACGATCGCCCAAGGGCACACGCAAGGGAGAAGTGGCCCACTGACTCCCATCTGGACCCCAGAGTCTGTGCTGAGCTGGGCTATTGGATTTCAACCTCCTTGGATCCGGGGACATGGATGGGACAGAGGATCCCACTGACTGGGGCAGAGCTGGGATGTGTCCAAGGTGCTGGCGTGACTGCCCCCCAGGGAAGGAAGCAGGCAGCCGGGAGGAAGCTGCTCCAGCTTGGTGCCCACTAACAGGAGCCAGAAGAAGGAGCCTGCCCAGGGCCTATGCCCGTAGTCTTAAAGCCACTGCCATGTGCCCAGAGGCCGTGTGGCACCCAGAGGGGCGAGAGCGCTGCTGGGGGGCCCAAGGAGGGTGGGCCCAGGGAGAGAGGGAGAGAAGGAAAAGGCCCCGGGACCCCCGACTCCCAGATGCCCCTGCCCCACCTGCCACACGGCCCCTGAGTGCCTTGAGGGAGCATGGGGACAGGTTTGCTGCCCTGGTTCGATAATTGTGTAACGACTGCATTCTGGTCTTTAGTCCAGACTCCAACATGGCTCCGAGAACTCCCGGAGATCAGGGGGCAGCTCTTACGCTGGATTCCAACAGGGACGTCAGTCCCAGTGTGGTCTGGTAGGCCGAGATGACCAGGAATCAAGAAGCTCTGGACTTTCGATTTCACCCCAACCCCACATTCAAGTGACAAGTTGCCCACCCTCTCTGGGCCTCCAGAGATGTTGGTGAATGAGGTCATAGTATCCCAGTTATTGTAGCCAGAGATCCCACAGAAGCCAGGACTCAGAGACAGATGGTTTGAGGAAACTGAGTCAGAAGCCAATGACACGTGTTGAGTCCTTTTGGTGTCCTGAAGACCCTTTTGCTGTATAAGTCACCTCCTCCAGGCTGTCTTCCAGGCTTCCAGGACCTAGTGGCCACATGTTCCTACACAAAGGCTGCTAGGAGTGATGCTGTCATGTACAGGAAAGCAAGGAATTCCAAGGTGGTCAGCTTTGCCTACCGAGGGAGCCCAGAACGACACCAGGGCAAAAGGCATGCATTTTAACAATCTGTATCCTGGTGGCCCCTCCTGGGGGGTCCAAGAAACTGCTGAAAGGCCCCCAAGGGGTCAAGAAATGGAGGCTGGGGGCCTGGGTCCGGACTCCCACCTCAGGCGTGCTGCCTCCTGTTGTGCAGTGGGCCTGGGTCTCTGAGTGGAGCACACATCAGGAAAGCGCTCTGCAGTGCAAAGAGGAAACACGTTTGAATGTCATGGCTTTAAATTAATACGGCAGATAGCGCTTAATCCTAGTAAGTGGTTTTTTTCCCACCAGTGGTTCTGGTATTAGAATGTGCCAATTTGTCTGGTGCTGGGTCATACTCTCACTCCTTAAAGGGGCAGAAAACCCTGGCTATTTCCCAGGCCTGAGGAACCCTCCTGGCATCAGTTTCCTGTGAAATCGGGGTGATCTTGTCTCCACCTTCCATGGGGAGCCACAGTGAGGGGCATAGGAGGTGAAGGGAAGGAGCTGGCTTTCGTGTTTCAGAAGGAAGGATGGAGGTGAGAAGGAGCCTGCTCCTTGGGGTGTGGCGGGGTAAAGGGCAACTTCACAGCCTGAGCCCACAGAGGAAACAGCAGCTTGAATAAAGCTGTGCTTATCTAGAGAATGAGTGTGCTTTGTAAAGTTTATGGTTTGTTTGGACTGTTCTGGAAGACCCATAAAGGCTGGGAGCAGAGGAGACGGGGTGAGGGCTCACAGCAGAGCTGGGGGCCACCCCACCCACTGCCTTCCTTCTCTAGGAAGCCTGTTGTGTTGGCATGATGCTCTGTATACAGATAATTCAAGCTTGCACAATGCAGACCCTTTTTCCTTCTGAAGATCACTTCTCCCTCTCTCCTCCCCCGTGGGTGACATCTGAGAAAAGTATTGCCCAAAAAAGAGCTAAAAGGCAAAAGCCCATGACCACTGTCCACAATGTGATTCTTTTTTTAAAGAGTATTTGAATTTTTAGAGACATGATCTTGCTCCGTCCCCCAGGTGGGACTGTGGTGGTACAATCACTGCAGCCTTGAAGTTCTAGGCTCAAGCGATCCTTCCACATCAGCCTCCGAGTAGCTGGGACTGCAGGCACACCACCACACCAACTAATGTTTTAATTTTTTGCAGGGTCTTGCTATGCTGCCCGAGCTGGTCTGCAACTCTTGGCCAGCTACACACACTCCACCATGTAAAGGTTTGTAGAGTTGGTAAATGGCGCCAACTAGTGGCTTCAGCTAGTCCAGAAACTCCAAAGCTTGGGGCTGTGTCATCTTTATGTCACCATCTCTGGTCTACTGTTTCCCATCGGGGTCCCCTGCTCCCTCGACCCGGGTAACTCACCCCCTCTTCAAGGGCAATTCGGAAAGTCTCCCCCTTTCAGGAATGGTTGAATTTGAATCACCAGGTATTTAATCAGAGTTCTCTCTCCCCGGTGGTTTGAGTAAGAAAAACCAAGGAAAGCAAATCCACCTTTTCTATAAAAGTTTATTCTGCAATTTTTTTCTAAGAAGGGCGAAAAATTGAAATTATTAAAGGTAAGGAACATCGGTATATAAAAATAATATAAACACACTTATTAATAACAAAGCAACATTTCTTTCTAGCAACAACTAGTAGTTAATCTTGCCCAAGATTTTTCCGAAAGTATTAAATACATTTTAGATAACAATACATTCAGATACACATGCACAAATATATCAAACACACACACACACATATATACAACTCAAGTATTTTTTTCTGTGCATTCTAGCTAATCCTAGCTAAAGTGAAAACAACTAAAACGACTAAATGCCTGAGTGACCTTAAAGTTGAACAAAGTATGCTTTGGAGGTGAATTTTGGAGACATGCTAAGATTTCCCTTCCCAATCTCAGTAGCTACCGGTTTGTACTCTGTGGTTCATACTGGAAAAATTAAAGCGTGCCTTTGAGATCTGCTTGTGGGATGGGGATGATCTTGTCTTCGGTGGTGTTGATTTGGGAAAACTTGCCCTCACTCTCTCCTAGTGCATCTTATGGATTGGAAAGGGGATGATTTGTAAGGGAAAGCTCTCAGGTTTGACTACATCTGACTTATTCTTTGCTTCAGGGCATGGACCTCCCTCTCAATTTCATAGGGGAGGTCGTCATTGACCTGCTCCTCCAAATACTTCTCGATGTCTTCCACCTCCTTCTCCCAGAACTCCTTGGAGATGCTGAAGAGTTCCGTTGGGTTGACGGCCCCCAGGCCCTTCAGGTTCAGGGCATCCTCTTTGGGGACGTAGCCTATGGGCGTGAGCTTGGCACCTGCTTTTCCATTGATGCGGTTGAACATCCACTCCAGCACCCTGGCGTTCTCTCCAAAGCCTGGCCAGAGGAACTTGCCTTCTTTGTCCTTCCGGAACCAGTTGACATGGAAGATCTTGGGCAGCTTGGCTGCCGGGCGCTGGGCCATGCTCAGCCAGTGGGCCAGGTATTTGCCGAAGTTATAACCAAAGAAGGGCCGCATGGCAAAGGGGTCATGCATGATGATCTTGCCTGTTAAAGAGAGAGGGTTCCATCAGCAAATGATGCTCTTGTAGGGAAGATGGGCCCCAGTGATTGTTGACACAGCATACATGGTGCACTTTCTCTCTCTCTCTCTCTCTCTCTCTGTCTATCCACATACAGACACAGAGAGGGACAGAGAGACACAGAGTGACAGACAGAGCTCTAATCCTGTTTCTCTGTGGGTTCACATCTGGCATTTGACTTACCTTTGTGTTCCGCAGCCGCCGTAGCCTCTGATCTCATGGCTGCCCCCACAAACACACCATGCTGCCAGTTCAGAGCTTCGTAGACTAGGGGGACACCTTCAGCAGGAAGAAAGAAAAGCTCCTTCAAGACTGTGACATTCAGCCTCCACAACCCATGGTATTATTTCACAGTGTGTCAAGACAACAGCTCTGTCCTTGAGCTGACTGTGGAAAACTACGAAGTCCAAGTTACCCCACCAAGGCACACAGCGGAAGGTAACGTTGGATCATTCTACATTGGATCCAGGATCTGGAAAGGGTCTGGGGGCCAGAAGGGTTGGGTCTACATCTGAGCTTGCCAACTCTTCTGGATTTTGGAAAGATCTTTGGTTCAAGATCTTTGGCTACCTCTACAAGGTCATGGAAAGGGGCACTTTCAAGGGGGTCTTTCGGTGGCTAGCACACCCGCGTTCCCAGTCTAAACTAAAGAGAGGCTCACCTGTGGGTCTGCGGCCTCCAAAGATAATGCCTTCGATGGGCACACCTTCCGGAGACTCCCAGGCACCATCGATGATGGGGCACTGGCTGGCTGGAGTGCAGAACCGCGAGTTGGGGTGGGCACAAGGTTCCCCTACAATGAGAGAGCGAGAAGCCCCTGAGCGTCTGGCCAAACAGTGGGTGCCTGCGACCCGGAGCGCTGAGGCCTCTAGTGGGAACTCACCATCCTCTGGGCTCCATGCCTTATCCTTCCAGGAAGTGATCGTGATGCCCGAGGCCAGTGGCTCATCGATGCCTTCCCAATAGATGCCCCCGTCGCTGGTCTCTGCCACATTGGTGAAGATGGTGTTCTTCTGGATGGTCTTGATGGCATTGGGATTTGTCTTCACAGAGGTTCCCGGGGCGACACCGAAAAAGCCATTTTCTGGGTTGATAGCCCTTAAGTTACCTGGAGGGTTAATAATCAACCGGAGAAGTGGTCGTGAGGGCCAGGCAGATATAACGTCTACTCACATCTTGCCAGGCTCATGTTGTGCCAAGTTTTCAAATCCCTTTTCTCCTCCCCTACAATACACATGTATGTTTTTCCTCCAAGCATCATATTCAACTCAGACACTCGCAGCTCTCACTTCCCCTCCAATTTCCCCCAGTCCCATCTTACCAAGTTTATGTGTGTAAACAAACAGCAGCATATGGCCGCATTTCAACCCAGACTGAATATCGCATTGAAGGATGCTTGCAGAATGCATATTTCTAAGACTCAGCAAACCTCAGTGGAATGTAAAGCTCCAAGCACTGAGGACGAAGGGGACTCTGGCACGTTTTGAAGGTCAGCCGCTCCCTGGGGCCCACTGCCATCCCTGCTGGGCCTGGGAGTTACCTTGCTCATCAAACTTCATCCAGGCGATGTCGTCGCCCACACACTCCACCTTCCACCCAGGCAGACTGGGGTTCATCATGGCCAGGTTGGTCTTCCCACAGGCGCTGGGGAACGCTGCCGCCAGGTACTTCTTCTGGCCCTCGGGGTTGGTTATGCCCAGGATCTGTGGGAGACGGGATGCTTCGTCACCGTCTTTGTGCCTTTCTCCCCGAAGGGCAGCACTGCCGTCCAGAAGCCCCCAGAGGTGGGCCCCAAGTTCTCCTTCAGCCCCAAAGCCCTCAAACATGGGCCCCAAGGTCTCCTTCAGCCCAGAACCCCCTGCCCACCCCCGAGGTGGACCCCAAGGGTCAGCCATCTCTTCAAGTTTCAGTGTACACTAACGTTTCTACCCCAGGGTCTCCAGGGGACTCTCTGTGTTTAAGGTCCTCTGAAGGAGGTATATGTGGGTGCATGAAGTGTTTAATTAATTAATTAATTAACCCGCTCACTCAGGGGCGTGCTGGGTCTTGCTGATGTGTCCGCAGCGTCCCTTGGGCCAGCCCCCTCCCCTCACCCCTGGGCTTTCCCTCACACACCCCAACCTTCCTGCAGGCTTACCAGCATGTGCTCTGCCAGCCACCCTTCCTCCTTGGCCAGCCGACTGGCCATCCTGAGAGCAAAGCACTTCTTTCCAAGCAGCGAGTTCCCGCCATACCCGCTGCCAAAGGACACGATCTCTCTGCGGTCAGGCAGGTGTGCAATGAGGGTCAGCTCTGGGTTACAGGCCCAGTTGTTGACCAAAGGCTCTGCAAACAGGGACCCGTTCCATGTCAGTACACCGTGTCCCTGCCGGAGGACACCCAGAACCCCAGGTTTAGCATTACGCTTACTTTGTTACTTTAACTTTTGATTTTGCAATAATACACTTACTCTTTAAAGGCAGAGGGCACCCCACAGAGTGGAGACACTTCACAAACTCGCCGTCGCCCAGCGCGTCCAGGACGGCCGTGCCCATCCGCGTCATGATGCGCATGCTGGCCACCACGTATGGCGAATCTGTCAGCTCCACGCCAATCTTGGACAGAGGCGAGCCCAGTGGCCCCATGCTGAATGGGATGACATACATGGTGCGACCTGGGGACCAGAGGGGTGGGAGCTGGTGAGACGTGACCTTGGGCTTGCAAACACCACCAGTGTGGTTCCCCTAGGGAGACTCAGTCTCATGGTCTCTACATCCTGTTGGCCACCAGCCCCTCGGTCAGAAGAGCCCACCAGGAGGCAGAGAGTCTGCCGAAATTTAAGAATTTTCTTTCATAAGTGTACAGTGGGCCCCCCCCCAAGCTTTTTCAAGTTCATGTGCATGGAATTGTTTCCATACTCGTGTCAGACAGTCTGGAAAGGCGGAACTGAGGTGAGCCACCTTCACTTGTGGAACTGGAAGATGGCTGAGGCCCGGAGTCTCCATGACCGTCACAATCACCACTAGGACAGCCGTCATAACACGACGTGTGCTGCTGTGCTACCCACTCAGATAAACATTTCAATCACCTTTCATGCATCCAGGGAACCTGGCATTGAACGCCTTCTCAAAGTCCTCCTCTGACATCCAGCGGCCCAGCTGGCTGACGCCGGTTTTCGAGATGGGAACCGTGTCCCTTTGTTCTTGGGTGATGATTACTGTCTTGCTTTCAATCCTGGCCACATCCCTGGGGTCTGTGAGAGCCAACCAGCTGTAGAGAATCACAGGATTCCTCAGCCCAGCATCATGAGCAGTGGACCCTTCTCTCAGGACTGGGGCTGTCTTTAGCTTGCAACAGAAATCTGCTCTTCCCAGAGCATTTGGGGGTGCCAGCACATAAGGCCTGGGTCCCCTGCTAATGTCATGAAAGTAGGGTCTGTATGGTTCTCACCATCTTATTATTATTTTTAGTCAGTCTGGCGCTGTCACCCAGGCTGGAGTGCAGTGACATGATCACAGCTCACTGCAGCCTCGAACCCCTGGGCTCAGGTGATCCTTCCCCATCAGCGTCCTGAGTAGCTGGGACTACATGTACACACCACCACACCCAGCTAATTGTTTTCTTTTTGTAGAGCTGACATCTTGCTATATTGCCTAGACTGGTCTCAAACTCCTGGACTCAAGAAATCCTCCCACCTCTTACACACCCTCCCGAAGGGCTGGGATTACAGGCGTGAGCCACTGCGCCCCACCCTGACTGTCTCCTGAAGTTCTCCAAGAGTCTGCAAGCCCCTTGAGGTCTCTATCACCCCTTTCTGCCAACACGGAGGAGGCAGGGAAGGGGAGTGTACAGGGGGTGCTGAGCGAGCTTACCAGTTGTCATATTTCTTCAGCCGCCGAATGATGCCCCGCTGTTCCATGTCCTCCAGGAGTCTCCCGTTCTCCTCCTCGGAGCCATCACAGATGTGGATGCACTCGGGCTGGCACAGCGTGGCATTGCTCTCCACGAAGTCCCTCACTGCCCGGGGCAAGCTGTCGAGGGTGCCCTGGACGACTTTGGCTGAGACGGTCAGGCCGTTTTGCAGCTGAGGAGGCATTTCTGCAGGGTGGTGCTAAGGGGCACGGACGCTGAGATCTCCTGAAACAGAAACGCTGTGTCCTGAGCACAAACGACAATAGACGCCTGCAAAGCACCTGGTGGCCTTCTGCGGGGATGGCCCACGTACAGACGGCTACTCCTCTAAGGAAGAAAGAAAATGGGTTCATGCTCTTTGCAATTTTTTTCAGAAATGTAAATGCCAAAGCTCTACTCACCTATCTTTGGATGATCTCAGGGATCCCAGGCTTTCTTTCTGGGTTCTTCCCACTGGCCAGAGTGGGTTCCCTGTGGGAAGGCCGTGCTTGGTGGCAGGAGCTCCTGGCCTTAAATACAGTGGAGGCCAGCGGCCCTTCCCCTCGGCTGCACTCGGGGAGGCTCGTCTCTGACGTCAGGGGCAGTTCTCTGGATCTCAGCCAGGGTCAGTTCTACTTCGGGCCAACTCACCACGATCCACCCCAGGGAGATAATCATTGAACATATCGTTGTTAATGAGTGCCAGGAGACCTCGGGCCAGGACCAGCCATGATGGGCTCTTACACAACCTCTGCTTGACTAAACTTTGCCCCAGTTCTCTGCTGATGCAAAACACAACACCCTTTTCTGGCCAGGCAGGTGGGGTCGAGGACAAGGCTGGCCAGGGCACCTCCTGGACTTCAAGGGTTGTTGGCAGCACATTCTGTGTGCCAACAAGGGCCCCTTGGCACAACATTGCCACTGTGAGGTGTCACCCCATGGCCAAAGTTCATGGGAAGGATGCACTCTAGCTTGGTGTGTGCATGGTTTATTGGCAAAAATCTGTGCCATCCGCCCTGCTTGGGGGCTAACCCTATATTGAGAGCCTGCTGCATGTCCCCATCGCCCCAAATGCAAACGTATGAAGGCAGGGGTTTCTACCTATTGTGCTCACTTATATAGCTACTCTGTGCTTGGCACAGAGTAGACACTGAGTACACACAACCTGAATGCTGTTTTAAGTCCTTTGCATCAATGAACTCATCACCGCATTCTGAGGGAGAGGCTATAAATGACCCTATGCACAGATAGGAAACTGAGGCAGGAGGGTGAGTAGTGGCTCCCAGCTGCTGGTAGGTGGCAGGGAGAAGATTTGGGCACGAGCAAGTTGGACTCAGCAGCACCATGTCACTCCTTGAGAGAATTGCCTTTTCTGGAACCTTCTAGGTGTTTTGCAGGCACTTCTGAGCTGGGTGCTGTGACTCTGGTTGACAACTAGATGCTTTTTGCCTCCCTCGCAAGTCTGGGAGTCTGGGGAGGGCAGAGGGCCTAGTGGTTTTACTAGATTACACTTGAGCAATGAGACCTTTATAACAGTCACAAAGAATCTGCTTTGCCAGCTGTCGGACCTGCAGTCCATTTTAGTGAACTATGGAAGCTGCTTGCTGGAGTTTAGAGAACACTGGGTAAGAAGTCAAGCACACAGGACTGGCCCCGACCCCCCCACCCCCACCCCGCCAGCCGACCACGCAGCTCCGAGGGAGCCCTCCACCCAGATGAGGTCAGGTGAGGACTTGGCCCACCTCCCCCAGGTGATGTAGAACAGTTCCCTGGAGTAACCCCACCACCGCAAATGTAAGGTCACGGCCAGTGCAGGGCCCTGCGAGGGTCCTGCAACCGCGAGAATCAGAGGGCTGTCCTAGAGGGCTTGACTAGGACACTCATGTCCTCCACTCCCGCCAAAATGATCAACCCATTGTGGTTTCATCTATTCAGCTTTTTATTCAACCAATTGGGTCTTTCAGTGTAAATACAATATGAGGTGTTTTTGTTTAAAGTTATTTTTCACTTAGGTCCCTGGAATTCGTCACAAGTGGTGCCATCAGCCGCACAAAAGCACGTGTTGTGTCTGTTGTGTCTAAACCCAGAAGTGATGTAACACTCGGTGCTGAGGTCACGTCCTTAGCATCTGACATCAGTGATGTCAACTATGCCAACACACAGCCATGCACAGCGACACACACATTATACTAATGAGGTTCATCGCACCAAATTGGTGGAAAGCCCCGTTTTGCTGCTAAAAAAAATAATAGGTTCGATTCCCTGGAAGAGCACACAGATTGAAAACAAAAATGGGAAACCAGAGCTTATCTGTAGTTGGAAATGCTACCCATAAGTTCAAGGCCATGATGCTCTGAGACTTCTGGGAGAGCAGCAGCCAGTGCAATTGCCATGTGGGAGTGACAAGTCACCGCCGAACTTCACTCAACGTTTAATTACTCACATTCACAGAAAGAAGGACGGCATTATCCCCTGCGACTGTCCCCTGCCAAAATATTAAAAAGCAAACACTGGGCTTCAGATTGCCTCAAAGTACAGAGCTCTCTGGAAGAAAAGAGTGAGACAATGAGAGGGGCATGAGGACATGCATGGGAAAGTGCCCTCATCCCTCAGCCGGCGACGCCCAGGGCCCAGCCTCTCCCTGTCCCAAAGGGGTTCATTGAGCAACAGTTTCAAGGGCTTGGCTGGAGGTGTTAGCCTTGCCCATCTGACACTGGTTTAGTTGTAAGTGAGCCTCAAAATGGGGAACTGAACTTCCACCCAGCTCCTGGGATCCCCGAGGACCCTCATTCAAACCCCACGTGGAGGCCGGGCACGGTGGCTTATACCTGTAATTGTGGCACTTTGGGAGGCTGAGGAGGGAGGATCACTTGAGGCCAGGAGTTTGAGACCAGTCTGGACAACATAATGAGGTCTCATTATTACAAAGAATAAATTTTAAAAATTATCCAGGCATGGTGGCATGCACCTGTAGTTCCAGCTACTTGGGAGGCTGAGGCAGAAGGATCGCCTGAGTCCAGGAGGTCGAGGCGGCAGTGAGTCATCGTCATACCACCGCACTCCAGCCTGGGGAGCCAAGGGAGACCCTGACTCAAAATAATCCCCAAAAACCTGAGCGTACTTTTCAGTGTGTGTTCAGGGCAGGTGGGGAGTGGAGGTGTAGATGGACCCTGTGTGCATATGAGGAATCTGAGGCAGGGAGATGCATAGCCACTCCCAGCTGGCTGGTGGTGGCAGGGGCGACTGAACACCAGCGAGCTGTGAGTGGCTTGCCCCTGTTGCTTCTGGGACGAGCCCCCGACTCTCCTGGGGCTCCTCTTTCCTCAGGCCCAAAGCTGCTCTTCTTTTTAAAAACATATAAAAAGTGGAGCCCAGAATACCCTGGGAAAAGAAGGAGCCAGAAAGGCCAGAAGCTGAAAAAACACCTCTCAGACCTTCTCCCCACAACTGCAGCCTTGCTTTGTGGCTTAGGAACCACGATCCCTTGCACTGTCTAGGACCACGCCGGTGGTGGCTCAATACCAGGGAGTCAGAGGGCTAACATGGTCAGAAGCGGAGCTGAGCTCAGATGGCTGAAAGCTGTCTTCTCTGGGAATCCTTGACTGGAGCATCTACTAAATGCATGCTGCGTCTCCAGCACAGGGGCATGAGTATTAACAATACTAGGCTTCCTCTGCATGCCGGAAATGGAAGGTTTTCCATTATTTTCTCTGATGTAAGCACTTTTATTATCTTTCCCATTTTATAGATCAGGAAACTGAGGCTCGAGAAAGGAATCACATTCATTCCTTCAACAAACACCAACTGAGCAGCTTTTGCTGCTCCTTCTCCAGATATGCCCCCCCCCCACCGTAAACCCTAGAGCATCTTCTCCTCTATATATTCCTAGCACCTAGTCATCAAGCATGCATTGAGCACCTACTGTAGACTGACCTCCCCTCCGGGCCAGCTTCATGGGCTCATGTGCATGCCCCACTCTCAGATGGGGACCCTTTTCTTGAAGTATTGTGCTTTGGGGTCCCTGTCTTGAAATTCCTAATGGTCCTGTCTCTGAGTTTGTGTCCCATAAGTGAAGTCAGTGGGATGGCAGGGCATGGGCCTTGGCTCTTGGCCTCTCTGCTTCGTGGGGAAGGGTTCTCAGTCACCTGCCTCCTTGGTCCTCCCTGCTCAGTGACCACAGCTGCCCTCCACCCCAACAAGGGCTTAACCGCAAGCACTGGGAGGTTGTGCTGGGGCTGTGAGCATGTGAGGGTCCACGCTGGCTCCCATAAGTAACACTGTGTGCAAGGGAGATGCATCAACAGCGAATCAAACACCTCATGAAAGGCAGGGAGACCGTAAAGACAGAAGCACAGGCTTTGGTCCTTTTTGAGCAAGGGGCCCTGCATTTCTCTTTTGCACTTGGTCCCACACATTACAGAGCCACCCTGCACACCATAGTGCTAAGCATGGTAAGAAATGATTTCCTTAAGGACTTGAGAGGTGGTTGGGAGGAAGGGCACAGTGGCTCACACCTGTAATCCCAGCACTGTGGGAGGCCGAGGTAGGAGGATCGCTTGAGCCCCGGAGTTCAAAACCATCCTAGGCAACATAGCGAGACCTTGTATCTACAAAAAATAAATTTAAAAAAGAGCCAGGTATGGTGGCACATGTCTGAAGTCTCAGCTACTCAGGAGCCTGAGGTAGAAGGATTGCCTGAACCCAGAAAGTCAAGGCTGTGGTGAGCTGAGACCATGCCACTGCACTTCATCCTGGGAGACAGAATGAGACTCTGGCTCAAAAAAAAGATGGAGCTGGGAAGACACCCCAAATGCTCCAATACTTGTTCACATCAAGCTCACATGAGGGCCCAATCAAAGAGGTCATGTGAGGCCAGTTGCCATACCCAGAGCACCCATCTGGGGAAGGGCTGGGGGCTGCATTTTGCTGTCTAGACCACAATCAACACTGATGAAGGCAGTGGTGCTGAGCTCTGTGGTCAGTGAGTGCCTTCCTTGAGGAGACTTTCAAACCCAGGTCCCCTGAATTGCCCAAGCCAGGGTGTGCCCACCCACTACACCTGGTCTACGGAGTGTGTGTCGGGGAGGAAATGTGGCTGGCAGGGCCCCAGATGTTATTCTGCACCTGTGCGGGGTTGTAGCTCAATTTCCCTGGCAGGCCGTGGTGAGATTCTAGAGGGACATGTGAGTGAGACTTGGTGGAGCTGTCGTAATGCCCATGCTGAATGGAACAGTCAAGAAGGCGACAGGAGATGAGGGCAGGGCCTGCCACGATTCTATAGGTGATATCCGAGGAGGTGGGTGATGGGTAGGGGCTGTGTTCCAGGTAAGCAGTAAAAATAGAGCCTTGAACTTGGCGGGGTCTCATGGCTGAGATTTTGAGGACAGTCTGATCATGGTTTACAATGGTGTTTCTTGGTTACCCAGAGGTCAAAGAAGAGACATTCCAAGATCCCCCAACATCTGTGCTTGGAGGCCACATGCGGTCAAGTCTGGTGGTCTCCAAACTG